CTAGGCAACATATTTAGTTCCTAGGAGCTAAAGTTGAATTTTAGCTCCTAGGAGCTAAAGTTGAACTTTAGCTCCTAGGAACTAAAAAGGATCTACTGGACGTCATCAAGAATAAACAACATTGTGACGGTTGGTTATTTCGGTTTGTTTCCGATTTCAGCAGATTTGGCATTTCATACCAATGCTGGAGATATGAATACACCTTATTATAGTTTAGTATTGGAATTATAAACATCTCAGTTAAGTATTTTTGTTTTGATCAGGAAAGCCTTCAAGATTCAAATACTTGCTTGATCTGTATTTCATTCGTTATTCTAGGGATGGATAACTTGTTTTTGAATAATCACGGCAAGCAATAGTTTTTTTTTGTCTCAAACAACGATATTGTTTAACTTCATTTGATTATCAAGTCAAACACAGTGTAGTATGGAGAGGAATAAATAATCACTATTATCATTGTTGAAATGCTCACTAACTTAACATTTTCCACGTCTTGTTCCTATGGCACTGGCGCGGTATTCGCCATTAGAGCACCTAGTCCATACACAAATATGTCACTCTGTGGTTGTATTTATATTGAAACTACAATTCGAATATCCTAGAAAACCTAACCTGCTGTTAATGCAGGTAGAATATTCTCACCACATGGATTATTTTTGTCAATATTTGTTGCATTGCATACATATGGCACGGCATTGGTGGTTACTTCACACGTTAATTGTTTCGGTTGCAGAAAAAATAGCATGTTTCATTCGGATCAAAAGTGACTTTGTTAGACTCGCAAATTTTGCTTTCGCTCGGCTTCGCTAAACGCTTCGCCTCGCAAATGCAAAATTCGCTTGTCAAACAAAGTGCCACTTTTGATCCTAATAAAACAATCTACTATTCGGTGTACATAGCAAAAAGGTAGAGGTGCCGAAAATCACACTCTCAGCAATTACATTTGAAAATTTCACATTTATCAAAGGCATTGAATAATATGATACAAAATACAACGATCACTAAGATTTCCTTACCTGAAATAACATAACACCAGGTAAAAATCACAATAAATTGTATGAACAAGAGTTAGCGATTTCAAATACCAACAGGGTTGCTACTTAATCAAATACCGAAATTGAACTGCCTGTATTCGAAAAGAATGAGTTCCGCAGTGGTTTTTATGAAACATAAAAACTAGACCTCAAATATCGCGAGATCGTGCATACATACTAGACTGATATTTAAATACAAAACTATAGGCAACTTATGTTACACTTGAAGTGTGTCTGTCGTTGGCGATGAAACTATTCTGCTTCAAGTTGCGCAATCCAAATTTCATTTTCAAACCCCTTTCTTTCCATTGGCGTAGAAGTTTCAGATGTTTATTTACTGAAATAATCAAGTTCTACGCCCATGGGATGATATTCATCATGGTCATGATATGGGTTTTATTTCCCAATAAAGCTATGCCAATGTAGCAAATTTGAGTAAAATCTCATGAGCCGTTTCAAAGTAATGAAGCAAAAACGATTTGAAAAACTAAGCAACTTTGTAGTGAGGTACTTTTGCTTGTATTAATTTTGGTCTAAGGAATATGTAGTAAGGATTTGTAAAGACATTTTAGAGACACCCTATATATGTGAAGTTTTTTTGCGTGAACAAAGTTACTTTGGTTCAATTTGGATGACCCTGTATGTGTATATTGTAATCTAACCCGCGTAGAACATTTCTTCACATCTGTGGAATTCTCACCGTCTCATTGAATAACTCTCATCCTTCCACTATTTATATATCGACGAAACGTCTTTCCTGTTGTTTGTGCATTATTCAAGGGGTTGAAAGACATAGGCGTCAGTTCCATTTATTTCATGGGGGTGAAAAATTGGATCCAGATGTCTTGATGAAAGGAGAAAATGAAATGTTTAGTAGTCGCACCTCAAAAAGGACATAGTTTGTCGCTGCGGAGTCTGACTCCGCAATGGAGAATATGGGTAATTTGAACATGATAAATTGAACTTTTCCAAAGATTTCATCAGTAAGCCTTTGGACATGAATATTTCTACGAAGTGAAATGTCAAAATTGCAATAAAAATCAACATCAGACAACTATCGAAGTTTTTATAGCTAGAATTCGAACGAAAACACTATAATTTGAAGACAAACTCAAAATATTTCAGTTTCAATCTACCAATGACTCATCGGCAATCTTTGCAAATGAAAAATGCGGGTTCAAATAAGCACATGAATTTTTCACATGAACTGCAATAACATTGGGTGTGTCTATTTTTTTTATCACCGTAGCATCGATCATGTGTGTTTGAGAAACGGTATTTTATAAAATATCAGTCAGTGAATGAAATGAAATGTTCGCCCAAATCGCCCAAAATAGCTGCAAAATGTAACTGCAATATGCAAAATAACTAAGACGACTAGGGTCGCTGCGGAGTACGACTCCGCACCACGCAATGGAATTCAAGAACTAAGCAATATTGCCCATCAGTAATACTCTATTCGTACCGAAGCCGTCATTTTAGGAAGGTACTGAGTACTACGGAATGAGGGAATAAAGTATATTCGAGAAAACTCACGTTTTATATTCGTGCGGAGTGATACTCCGCGTGCGACTACTGGAAGGTTAATAGTGAAAACGTGGTTCAAGAGAAAAGTGGGCTATAGGACTGATCTTTCTATTGTTCATTCCTAGCCTATTCCAATTGCCACAACGAGTAGCACCGAGTTATTCCGAGTAGATCTTGAACTGATAAACAGCGTTTTCATTACAAAGAACTTGTAGCATGTTTCATTCGGATCAAAAGTGACTTTGTTTGACTCGCAAATTCCGCTTTCGCTCGGCTTGGATAAACGCTCCGCCTCGCAAATGCAAAATTCGCTTGTCAAACAAAGTGTCACTTTTGATCCTAATGAAACAATCTACTATCATCCATTTCAAATCTACTGAAAAATATCTTTACACTTATCCATTATTATAATTACCTATATTATTATTATTCTTCAGTTAGTTCCATACAACTCATAAATCGCACGCTTTGTTCAAATTAATTTTACAAAATTAGTAATAAATTAGTAAAAATAAAAAATAGTATAAACCAAAAATGATAATAGTATATTATGTAACAAGTGTTATAAACGTCCTTTTAGTAACGAGTATTTCAAGCACGAGCGGAGCAGAGCGGAGCGAGTGTTTAATAAACGAGTGTCTAGAAGAGTTTATAAACGCGTTATATACTATGCTTTTTCTACGAACTCCGAAAATTATTATACAAAATAATTCGACAGGAATGGGAATTGAGAACATAATACATGCAACTGCTTGCAACCAGCGAGACATGTATCAGTGATATTGGTTGTAGATGTGTCCAGTCCATTGCTTACTAACCTTTGTTTCACGTATATTGTCATGCTTAGCGCAGAATAAATAAATTGTTCTCAAAGATGGATGCTTCATTTTTACACTTCTTGGAGATATGCAAGTACCAGAACATTCTCTTCGATTTCACTTTCGTCTTCATTTCGCATATATTTTCAATGAAGAATTCTGATACAAACGAATATTGTTTGAATAATTCTGATATAAAATTTGAAAATAACAGTTGACAAACCAGACATGTCTCAAATTACTGAAGCTGTGTTTAATGAACTGTGTTGCCATGGTAATGTGTTTAAGAAATCGTGTTGGCATGGTAACGTGTTTAATATTTTTGAATAAATCACAGATCGTCAATCCGTGATTAATCGATCATTTAGCGTGGTACAAATCCGTACGCTAAATGCCATTTTAGTTATGTGAGTATAGAAAAAAGTACATACGGGTCGATTCTGTTTGCAAATAGCAATATGGTTGTAGAGAAGATATTGCTATCATAGCAAGATTCGAAAAAGTGGAATTCTGATCATCGATTTTTGGCAATATGATCTGTCAATTTCAATGACATCTGGTCAGCTTTCTAGCTATCTCGGCAACATCAATTTTGTGCTTGCTATCTCATAACAAGGTAGTGGATTCTTTGTTTTTGCACTACAAATTCTCCCAACTGTATGAAAATTCAGAAAATAGTGGATTAAAAACATATCAGAGTTCAGTTGTGTCACAGACTACTCGAAAACCTTTCCTCAAAGTTTCAATTCGTAGAAGAATGATTGAAAAACATAAAATGTTGATTACAATCATATAGGATAGGTTCACTACTGTGACCAACTACTTGAAAACCTTTTCTTGAAGTTCCAATTTGTAGAGGAAATATGAGACTACAATTTCGGCATATCAGAGAAATTTCAGTTGCCTGATGGATAGTTTATCAAGCTATTTTGCTAAAATATTGAAATAAATCACGATTATTTTCATCCGGCTTTTAGTTGTTTTCTAATTTCGGGGACATGGTTGATTACTTGCCAGTCGCACAACGACGACCAGATTCAGCAAATACAAAATCTCTCGATTTGAACAATACAATTTTGTAAAATGTCAGCGCAGGACTGACTGATTTGAGAGGTTAGATAACATGAACTCTTTTTCCTCATGAAATAATGGCGAAATCGATACCTAACACTTAAACAATGAGTTGAAAACAGTGTTGTCAGCTCAAAAATTCTCAATTTTTCAACAATATTGCTATCACTTGAAGTTATAACCAGTCTTGCAGTTACTCTGCAAACAGAATACAGAACTTCATAGCAATATTGTTATATGTTATGATCATAACAATATTATTATCTTAGCAATGTTATAACAAGATCCGAACAGAATCGACCCGATAATGTGTTGACGTCATAGGTTTATTCCAATATCATTTCTTGGAATTCGCATAGCATAAAATAGATTGTGAACAGATCTATTGAAATCTACTGAATATTTGTAAAATTTGCCAATCAGTAATTTTATGAGATAAATTGGCATAAAAAAATTGTGAGACCGTATAAGAAGAAATTTCACCGGTTCTTATAATAGGCGTGTATATTGCGTGTATTAATCGTGGAAAAAAAATATCGATCAAATTTTAATGACTCATGGTATTACCTTGGATTATTTTTCTGATGTGCTGCATAACCTCCTTGAAATCAAGTTCGTGCGAAAAGGAAGAGGTATTTCCCCCTCCCCTCCTAAAAGTACGCTGCTGGGGTAGTACAGGAAGACTTCCCATTATTCAAAAGGGGGTCGAAGACAGTCAGAGAATAATATTAATGAGCAAATTCTGGAACAACTGAATGTGAATAAGCAAAGTGCTCACAAAAGGAGATGGGACCCGAATTTTCGGTCTATAATTCAACGTGTTATAATTTCCTCGGATCGTGAGATTGCAGAGAAGGGTTGAGATTCCATGTGAACAGAGAATATTAATATGAATGGCTGTCGCTGTCTGTCGTATATAATTCTAGGGCAATCCTTGAATCCATCCAGCTTGCTTCAAAAGTGACATGCAAATAGAAATTCCTGCAGGATAAGTGAAACTCGTTCCTGAATGTTTGAACAAACAATCATACTTTAAACAGACTCCTCCTCTACAGTGTGTTCATTTAGTGCGTAATTCTTCGATATTTCGAAAGCCATAACCTATAAAGAAAAACTTTGGAAAACAAACTTTTTCAGTTACTAAGTTGCTCATTTCAAAAATATTTTCAACATTACTGGGTGTTTTATAAAAGCGGGGCAACTCGAAGAAGAGTTTTTTTTAATGGAACACCCAGTATTGTTCATTCGGAATGAATTCCGCCGAGGTTCACCTTCACATCGCTGTAAAAGAAAATGAAATCGATTGTGGCGTTGCCAAGTTATAATTGATAATTCAATTTTCACCATTATTGAAGAGTCATGTTGAATTGGGCATGGTATATTCATTTATTCAAATTTCATCCAGTAATTTTGCGACATGTTCTTCAACAGGATGCTCAATTTTGCATTTAGAATTTTGCAAAATTCAGATGACATTCATCAGAATTCTTCAAATGGAATACCCTGTATTTCAATTCAAAAATTCATTCGGACATCTTTCGCCTTTTTATCGCTGGAAAACAAAACGAAATCGGTTGCGGGGTTGTCAAGTTATGGATAATTTCCTTATTTTTATAACTATTTCGGGGTTATTTGTACGTCATAGTTCTTGCGTTGCTACGGTATTATCGAATTTGTTCATTGACCAATCATATATTTTTTCACAATAGGAGCATTTACAGGCTCTCCAAGTTTGAATTTTTTTCGAAATACACTTATATTTGTTTAATGACCTGTCAAACATCGCCACAATCAAAATATCTTGTGGATTACCTCCCAAAAGCCGCGTAGTAGAGACATATTGTTTGCATCATTATGATTACCTCCTTCAAGTTAAATGGAGATTTGGATTGTGGGAATAACGACAATAAAAATAACCGAAATTTCAAAAAAATGTCCTAATTTTCGCAATCCGCATCTTCATTGTTTGTATTGTAGAAGTTGTTTCTGTTGAAGAAGACAGGCGTTGCTTTTGGCATGTTTGTTCGTTTCACATATTATTTAAAACATAAGTAACAAGATTACGGAATATTTCAAATTTGAACGATGCACATATCGCAAAAATACCTGAATGATCTATGTCCCTCGAATGTCATGTGGCAAGCAATATTCCCACAGTCAAATCAAATAAAGGAACCATCATGACGTACAAATTACCCCAAAATAGTAGTAAAAATAAGGAAATTACTCATAACTTGAAAACGCCGCAACTGATTTTGATTTTTTCTTCAGCGATGAAGAGGCGAATGCTGTCGAAATACATCTGTGATGAAAAATACAGCGTGTGTTCCATTTGGAAAACTCTTATGATCGTCGTCTGAATCTTACAATATTCAGAATGTAAATTTTAGCACCCTGTAAAGGATTATCTCGCAAGATTACTGGATTGGTGTACGTGAGACTTTGCTACTACTGTATGCCAAAAATATTTTCAAAATTTCAATAAATAAATATACCATACCCAATTGAACATGACCCTTCAATAGTAATAAAAATGGGTTTATCAATTATTATAACTTGGCAACGCCGCAATCAAATTAATTTTTTTTTGCAGCGATGTAAAGCTGAACCTTAGCAGAATAAATTTCGAATGAACAAAACTGGGTGTTCCATTTAAAAAAACTCGTCTTCGCTTTTATAAAACACCCAGTATTGTTGGAAATATTTTTGAAATGAGCAACTTTAGTAACTGAGAAAGTTTTTTCTTCAGTTTTTCTCTTGTGATAATTGATTTCGAGATATCGAAGAATTACGCACTAAATGGACACACTGTATATCTCAGCTATTACAAAGGGTGTTTCATTACTAATTGCAAATATTCCAAGTAAAAAATCTTGATGAGCTCAAAATATGAAGATTCTACCAAAATCATGTAGATAAAATATGTCTCCTGTCTGGCTTAACAGGGTGTTTTATTTGAAAATTCAAAAATTATTGTGCCTAGGACTTTGAAACTAATTGGCATATATTTGGCGGAAGTATAGATACTATACACTCTATCAAATTATGAATATAAATGTTTTTCTACAAACGTCAGTAAAAGTATAATTTTTGACGCATGCTGTCAGTGTCTAAAATGTCAGTTTATGACACTGGTGTTAAAAGAAAGTTCCCAAGAAAATGAATTTCTTCCGCCGCAAATTGAAGAAGCTGCCAATAACGCTGTTTTTGAATTATTATTAAGAACTAGTGCTAACAGTGATTTATTTTTATGAGAAAATATGTGAACATAATTCAAAATGAAGTGTTTATTCAATTAAAAGTACAATTAGCGAAACTACAATTATAATATTGTTACGTTATTCGGGTGCAGAATGAACACGACACTATTTATTTTCGAACTGATTTATTCAAACTAAAGAAACACGAACATTCCAGAATCTTCTGTGACGTTATTTGTCACCGCGGCATATATTGAGTGTTCGGAAATATGCTGGTGCATGTAGGAATCATTGAGAGGTTGGAGAACAATCTGGAATGCGTGTTACAGGATGATTGTTGTACTGTCTTACCAAATGTGTTGATTCCAACTGCAGTCCTGGCACATTTATTTTTAATGCTTTTTTTAAAAACTCTAGAATCATTGATATCCACTGGCGAAGGGCTATGTACTTTTTGTAGTAGTTCATATACAATGTACCACTTACAACAAAGGTGCGTTGCACATTAATTTTTGTGCCTGGTATATGCACAACTAGTGAAGTTCCGGAATCCTCGATATTATTTAATGTCAAATCGCACAGTTCTTCTCGAGGACAGGCTCCAAAAACACCAAAAATCGCCGCAACTTTCTGCATTAGATATATTTCATCTGGGGCTTCTGCGAGAAATTTGTCGATTTGTTCTCTTGTCAATACTTTTGACTTTTTTGGTCGATATTCTTCACCCTTTCGCTTCAAAACAGCCACAAGCTTGTGATATCTGCTTATGTCATGATCATTTATGTTCATCATCGACTTTAACATAGAGTAATTCGACCAAAGCGTTGACGATTTCCATATTTTGGACTTTTCTTCAGAGTATGCAAGAAGCACTTTTTCACTGGCCTCCTTTCCACTGACATTTTTCTGATCACACCATTTCAAGAAACGTTCGTATGAAAACTCGTACTGTCGCTTTGACTTACTAGGCAATAATTCAAAAACAGCTTTATTGGCAGCTTCTTCAATTTGCGGCTGAAGAAATTCATTTTCTTGGGCACTTTCCATCGAGGAACGAAGAAACGAGAAAGAATAATTTGTGATTTATTGACAAGAAAGATAAATCAACAAATTCAGTTTTTGTTTACCTTGGTGAAAAAAGAAAAATCAAGGAATCCGCTTGCATTCTTCTAACCGCAGACAATAGCATTGCTTCCTGTTCAGTTCATATAGATAGAACATGGTATTCACTACAGACAACTGAACATGAAAATGGTAGATTCAAGATTAATTAATGAAAACATCCTGTAACTTATTTGTAGACTAAAATCACTCATTGATATGCCAACATCAGTATGACACTGAGAAGTGTCAAACTATAAGCAGAGCACAACTTCCAATGAAAAATATTTTGCATTTTCATGTTGAGAACGGGAGCAGATTCGTTCCCAATACGTCCAAATATAAGTAAAAACTCGATATTTTTTTAATATATCTATATTTCATTTCTTCAAACATTTTTTCAAACAAAGTGTCACTGACAAGCTATTGGATTTTTCTTTAAAATTTATTGTGACTTGCCCCTCCCTGAGATTATTTCTGCGGACGCCCCTGTACGACAGTGTTCATCAGCGAACTGTTTCCAGATTTTTTTCATGGACTTTGCGGTCGTACAAGTTTTCTCCACTGATCCCAATGGAAGAGGAAAATAAAATAAACTGCGACCCTGGCTCGAAATCGGCGGACACTCCGTTACATATAATATATCGAATCGTTCTATTCTTGCCAAATAGGTATTTTCTCTGTGGGCACCTTGTAGAATTAAATTGACCGTAAACCGGCGAAGCCGAGATAAAGTCGAAGCCAGTCTGCGAAGATGGAAGTAGGACAAGAAGAGAAAATATCGAGTCGCTCGTTGGCCCAATGACCCACGACCCATCTGTTTGCCAACTTTTGTTGTTTCACGACAACTAGATGTGGGTATACCAGGTGGATCGTGGATCAGCGTTTTGAGCTGTTTTTTAGCGTAGAACTCAATGATATTTCATATTACGACATGATTTAGATGGTCGCCAATATATTTCGTCATTCGTCAGCTGTCATTTGGTTGTAGTCGTTTTGTTTGTTGACTACCACAGAGCTGATATTTTACTTATTTTAGAGATTATATTTGTTGAAAAGGTTGAAGAGTGAGTTAAAATTTTTATTTTTATCTGATTTCTGAATCGAGTCAGAAATGCAATAGTATATTACATAACTAGTGTGGAAAGTGACATATTTCGCGCGAGCGCAGGAAATGCACTATCCAACGAGTTTTGTACACTATTTTTCCTACGGACACAAATATTTATATTATATGTCATGAGTGTTTATAAGACCAGAGAAGGGATCATGTTTCTAATCATATTCGATCACATGCAGGTGATATCATTATCATTATTATTTAATTTCACTTCAATATTTAAATGACATCATTAGTTTAACGTTAACTCAACATTAACTTAACATTAATTTAACATTAACTTAACATTGACTTAACATGAACTTGACATTAACTCAACATGAACTTAACATCAACTCAACAGTCACTTAACATTAACTCAATATCAAATTGACATCAACTCCACATTATACACTAAATTGCCAATACATTGACATTAATTGAACTTTCAATTGAAATCAACTTGATTGCAACTTAACATTACGTCAACATTAACGACAATAACTCATGTTAAATCGACACTAACTTTCCATTAACTTGACCATAACTTAACTTACCTCTACATTACTTTAACATTAACCTACCATTAGATCAACATTAATTTAACAATAACTTAACATTAACATTAGCAGTTACAAGCTTACCCGATAGATGACCCAAGCGAGGTTATGTTTCGTGATACATGATTTATTAATTTATTATGAATGACAAAGAAACATGAACCTGATCAAGATGCGAAATTATAAAAATTATGAACTAATGAAAATGAATGTATTTGAATGGACAGTATAATAAATACCTATAGTGATTCATTTACCAAGTAAGTACATCATATACCTTCCTAAACCTTGTGTGGGGAGCGTGAGTTTTTTTAAAATTTCAACACACGTGAGAATCACTTTCGAACTTTTGCATCACTATGGTGACATGAGCTACTTTCTAAATAACAAAGTGGTGTGTTTTATGCTGTTTTCATAGGTGGTCGTAGGAATAACTATTTTTTTACTACTGCTATGAAAAGTAGCGCATTTCTCATAGCTTACTTAGTTTCAAAACCATGTATTGCCAATACTGTGAGAAATATTTTTTCTCACGGCACTTTGCCAATCCCAAAACTTGGCTGCTGTTCAGCTTTGAATAGTTGTCACAACTGTGAGAAGACGTTTTTTAAATTCTTTCGGGTAGTTCTCATCAGTGCTTTTGATAGAAATCGCATTTTTCATCAAATATTGTTCCGTCAACAATTGATAATAAATAATATGATGTATATGCCGAGATGTGACGATTTTGATAAATACACCGCCAGAGACAGAGATAATGGAAAAAGCTGCGAAAGTTGGATTTGTTTCCGGAAATTTCAAGAAAAAAGTATGAATTGGCATATATGTACGAAATTTATGGCATCTAAAAAAATACAGAAATAAAATCCTTCTCGGAAAGTGTACGTTTTTTAAATACTTTGGTCACAATATACTATGTGGCAAGTTAAATTACTCGGATTCTTTGAATAAGTGCAGTTGTAGAAAAAGTATAGTGTGCAACATGTGAGGAAAAGCACTTTTCTCACTCGTGCGTTTGCATCACTCGCCCTTCAAGCTCGTACCACAAACTTTCGCACTCGTGAGAAAAGTTGAACTTCTCCCACTTGTTGCACAAACTATTTTGTTGAAACACTAGAGAGATGCATATGTGGAAGTGAGGAGAAACTTGCAGCATGTACGAGCACCACATAATTATGAAAATGAAACAAAAATAAAAACAAAACATTGCCCAGTGGTTTGAAAACTTTATTTCCTCAAATATCACAAGGAATCTTGCCTTGAATTTTATCGGTGTTATTTAGATACACCCTGTATATTAGAATACTTGAAGCCTAAGAGATTATCAAGGACCGAGTGTTTCTAGCGGTTGTGGAAATATCGCACTGAGCCATCTCACCTTCTACGCCACTATCCTCGCCTTACCCCAAGGACTTACCCTACTATTTCTCTTGTTCCAGAGGTCGTTTTCCCGAGGACCACCCGAAAGGCTGCTGCGGCATCTTGTCCTGGAAGGCGGGATCGCTGCGCTGGTTCATCGCGCTGATAGCCCTTGTGGCGGTTTGCTGCGTTCTAGTAGGCACCGCTTTGGGCGCTATGCGACCGTCCGGCCGTGATCATCTCACCGTCTCCCTTCTAATGATAGGTAAGCACTGACACCTCGACTGACACTGACTACTGACTCATAAACTATGTAAATGGGTCATCATCGCGCTGATAGGACAAGCGTCTAGCTAGACCAGCGAATCTCAAGGGTATCAGAAGGTTATTCCTGGTTATAAGACTTATTAAGTAAATATATATGAAAAAGGAAAGATTTTCCACCCAATCGTTACCACCGATACAACAAGGCCAGCAGACTCTGACGTAAACAGCTCGTGACGTCACCAAGAGAGGCCAGTGTTTTATTTTATCGCTTGTCGACTAACGCGTCAGTTCGTGTTAATTCATCGGTGATTCATGTATGTTTTTGAAACGGTCCCGAATTCTTTTGTTGTTTATTCATCAAAATAATTGGCGGAAAAATTACTGTTTTGTGAAATATTTTGTGTTGTGATCGGCGAAATAACAATGCCTTTCAAGTGTTGTGATCCCTTTTGTCGGGGGAATTATGTGGGTGGTTCAAAAGTTCATGCTTTTAGTTTCCCGTTGGACGAGGAGCTATCGAAACTGTGGGTTATGCAATTCACCGCGAGGATTTTACTCCATCTAAGTTCAGTAGTAAACAGAGCTTAATTTATAATGATGAATTAATAATAGAAGACAATTACTCTCTCATAAAAAGTATAAGTAGAGGAAAAATTGAAAAGCTTTGATTGTGCAGTTAGTTTTGTATTCATATATTATAGTCAACAAAATTATCTCTGAATTCGAGGAAATTTTCTTGAATGTTCATAATAAACGGGCATTTTTAATTCTCCTTCTCAAATTTCTTTCTGAAAACGGTCATTTGCCTCGTGGCAATGAATGCAGAATTCATTCCAATGATCAAATTGCAACTATCATATTAACATGAACTACAAACACTCTACTCAAAAAGGTAAAACTGCATTTATCATGATATTTATCATGAAGATATTTGACTAAAAAGTTCCAAATTTCACCTTCTTTTTCTTCTGGATGGCATTTAGAAAAAATTTCCCTTCTTTTTTCATCATATTGGACAATTTATATATAATTCAACTATAAATATGATTTTCTTGAGATTAATCCATATTTAGTGAAAAGAAGGAAGAATATCATTCAAAATAATGGCGTGGGTAATGTCATTCGAAAGCAATCTATTGACATTTGAAAAACTCGCCATAAAAATCATATTTCCTGTTGAATTTTCTATATAAAAATGTGCCATCGAAGTACATCATGAGTATATAAAGTGTCCAATGACAAAATAAGAGCAAGTAGCTTCAAATGCCCCCAACACAAGGGGAGAAAGAAGGCGAAATTTCGAACTTTTTCTTGAAATATCTCAATAAATAGTGGTTTGTTCACATTTTCATTATAAAATTCGGTTTATCAGACAAAAATACGTGAGTACCGAAAAAAATTTTCAAAAAAAAGCATCGCATGATAAATGCAGTTTTACCCTTAAAAATTACGGTTTCAAGTGTAACGATCCACTTGGGTGAAAAATCCAACAACAGAAAATTGAAAACACTCACTGGTTATTTTTTCAGGTAATAGGAATTCTCCAAGATAAATATAGGTAATTGTAACAAAAGGCATGTCAATCAAAATAAAATACATTTTCCACAATTTTCTTTCGATCAATCTCACGATAAGTTTATGTTCTGCGGGCCCTGTATAAGTAGGTGTGAAGATTACCTTCACCACAATTTTTGCCAATATATTTAATTCGAATGGGTTGCTGTGGGCGGATATTTGTGTTTTATCCTGGTTTTCGCTTTAAAACTTCGTTTTTCCATAATAAAATCGAATGGGGTGCGAAGAAGGGCTCAGTTGACGACTGGCATCCTTTTTTAACCGGAAGCCCTCCAAAAAACAGCAAAATCGGCTCAATGATGATCTAAAACTAAAATCGAAATACGCGGTCGCCTTTATAAGCGCTTGTCGTTTCGAGCCGCTGGTTAGGCCTCACTATGTGACGTCACCCACGGAGCATGCAGGCCTTGTTGTATCGGTGGTAACGACCCAACTCGTCCTGAATGAACATTTTTCCTGAAAAGTTTATTTTTGAAAAATTACTTGAGTGATTCAGTCACACTGACCACTGAACTATCGCTTCACTCGTAGTAATCGTAGTTTCTCGTTCCCACCACCCTCTGGACTCTAGAGCCAACGGCACATTAGCAACAACATCAACATTTTTGCTGCAGAGATGTTGATAGCAAACTCCACCTTAGATCAAGGCAGTGTTCATTATCAAAAAAAAAAGGATTGAGATATTTATGCAAGGCGAAATTGAATGAATCTTGCAAATCAATGTTGAACAGAGAATCATATGATACGGATGTTGCACTATATTATTGTAGTGGTACAATAGTATATTTCCTATGGATTCATATGAATCAGGATCAGAAATTAACCCGTCGAGTTGAGGCTTCGCACCCCTCCGTGGTCACTTTGGAGACCTGCAGAACATCTCTTTCCAAAGACTCGTTCATCCAACGAACAGCGAGGCTCTGGAACACATTGCCAAGGGAGGTGTTCCCCAAGGCATATAACCTCCAGAAATTTGAGAAGAACACAAATTCCTATCTTCCCAATCAGCACCAGACATCTTAAAGACGTACATTTTACGACTTACTTACGTCTTTACGTCCAGGGATGTATAAAGTACGTCGTTAAGATGTAAATCCATGTACATCTTATAGACGTACACGAATTTACGTCTTTAAGACGTACATTCTAGGTCGTATCCACGTCGTTCCTCCCATGTCGTATAAAAGACGTCTTAAAGACGTACATTCCAGTACGTCAATTCGACTTATAGAACAATAATGTAAGTTATTTTCTGAAGAAAAACAAAATTTCATCTCTTCACGTTTTTTATTTTCAATTGTTCAGTTTTTTCTTATTTTCAACAAAAGTGATGTTTTTGAATTTTTTCGTCCGACATTTTGGAGCCTTCGTGTTAGATTCTCGAATTTTCACAAAAAAATCATATTCTCCGACCCCAAAAGTCCCATAGTAATCAATTTTGAATAAAATCGGACTATAATCACAAAATTCGTCCGCCATTTTGAAGCCGACATCTTGGATTTTTCATTTTCGACAAAAGGAATTATAATCTCTGATCCCGAAATCCTTCAGATGCCAATTTTGAATCAAATCAGACCATAATCAGAAAACCATATGCCACATCGTCCGCCATATTGGATCCGCAATTCTGTTTTTTCCATTCAATAATAATATCACAACGAATTGTCACCGGAATAATATTTACTTGCCAAATTTCAAATCAATCGGACGATTTAAAGTGAGTCAAATTTAACTTGCACGTTTAGATTACAAACAGACACAAGGACATGTTAAACTAAGTAAAAGCTTGTTTTGTGATATATAGAACAAACAGAGTAACAGAAGAAGTGAATATGGTATAATCATATACGTATTAATAAACAATACGGATCATAACGGGTGCCAGGATGAAGCCAAAAATATGAAACAAATGAATATCCATAAGGATTTGGTGGCATGATACGCATGCGCCATGCGCTATTATAGTAGTCCGACAGACATGCGTTTCGGTGGACAATGACGTTTACTAGCCTTTCAATCAAAGCAGTATGTGTCTGATCGTTTCAAAACTTTTCCTTATGGATAGTCATTTGTCTTCAAAAATCGGCTTCATGTTTCGCTATGGGAACAGATAGAGATTATCCGTATTGATTATTAATACGTATATGGGTATAATCATCGAAGTCAAGCAACAAAGAGCGCGGTTAGTACTTGAATGGGTGACCGCTTGTGTCTACCGTTTGATGAAGTCGTTTATTTCCCTTTTTTTTTGCTTGTCTGCACTTGTTGCTAACTTCAGTGCACAGGTGAAAATCAACTGAAACTATATGTGATTTTTCCGTAATTTGAAAGATCAATTTGAGGTCATGGACCAAAAACACCTAAAAAAGACGTCTTAAAGACGTACATATTAGTGGAAAATGTACGTTTTAAAGACGTCTTAAAGACGTCTCTTGGGCGTAATATGTACGTCTTTAAGACGTACTTATGTCCCGACATGTACGTCTTAAAGACGCCTTAAGACGTACTTTGGCTGATTGGGTTATTTCCCTTGGTTCTCACGATGTTCTCTGAACATTACAGGATATCCCTTTTCGTGGGAACCAGAACATAAAAAAAACATATTATTGTTGTTCTAAAATTGTTCTTATCTTGTGCGAGCAAGAAATGACGGGGGTCTTACTTTTTAATGTGTGATCCCAAACACTTTCTTAGGCCATCAGAAAAATTTCTGCGGTCGTGGTGGTAATCGAACCGTTCCTACCGGCAATCCAACGTGGATAGAACATTGACGCTTCAACTACGAGGCTACGCTAATAATAATAATAATAAATCGTCTTTAATTGGGCGAAATCTAGCCAAGGTTATTCTTACATTTGACCCATTTTTGAAATTAACTTAACCTATAATCTAACTACCCTAACCTAAGCTTAACCTAATACACAGGCGAAAAACGGAATATTCATCATACACATGACAAAAACGGCAAAACTAAAAGAGTAATGAATCAAGAATTCAACAAACATTTATGGGCAGCATTCAATTGGTTGTACAAGATACCTGCATTGTATGTGAATGATCGTTTGAACATCGAAATAGAGTACTGAGGCATAGTCAACAAATGTTTCTGCCTAATATTCCGTGCATGAACATCTTTTCGAGCTATCAATTTATCTTTCAAGTATGAAGGAATGGAAGTGAGAAGAAGGCGATGGATGTGAACATTGTATCGGAATTTGACAAGCGATTCAATATCTAACCATTTTAGTTGTGTTAATTCATTAGATACGGAATCATAAATTTTCTCAAACCATAGACAAAACGACAACATGTGTTTTGGTTTATTTGGAGCATGTGTTTGGCGGTATTATCTAAGCATGGCTAGTAAACTATATCACAATATCCAATCATCGATACTACCAAACTTTCACATAGTGTCTTTTT